GTGAAGCCTCTCGCTGCCCCTGAGCCTCTGGCCTGTACCCCAGTTCTGTATGCACAACTAAATAAATCTTTAAAAAAAATATGGAGGAGGAAAAATATAACCCTAAAATCATATAGACAAAATCAATAAAATAAAAGAATAAACAAATAAATTTTATGTATCAACTTGTCTTGACCACAGTAATCAGACATTTGGTGAAACACCAGCTTAGATATTGCTGTGGAGGTATTTTTTAGATGAAATTAGTACTAAAATGAATAGAATTTGAATAAAGCAGATTCCCCTCCATAAAGTGAATGGGATTTATGTAATCAGAAAAAGACCTTAAGAGAAAAAGCCTGTCTTGCCCCAGCAGAAGGAATTCTACTTCCAGACTTCCTTCTGTCTCAAGCTGCAACATCACCTGTTTCCTGGGTCTTCAGTCTATCAGCCTGCCCTATAAGTTGTGATTGTTAGCTTCTGCAATTTTAAGAATCAATACCTGAAAACCAATCTCTTGATAGACACAAATGCATAGACACATACTTATTGATTTTGTTTCTCCCAGAATTGTAACTAATATATGCACACAGAAAAAACAAATGTCTGACTGAAACTGATATTTAGGGAAGGATTTTCCTTCAAGACTCCCAAATCTAACTTTTTATAGTTCTCCTAATTAATCTTAAAATACCACAAAGAATATTTATATCAGCAGTTATAAAACAATAAAATAGTAAAAATTACAAATAATTAAAAATTCTATTGTTTGTGTGTTCTATTTTTTGGTAAATTGGCTCAATGAATAAATTAAATGAAACAATAACAAAGCCCTTACAATTTCAAAGTCCACCCTACCTACAAGATTTTCTGTTGAATCAAGAGACCCAATATTAATAAGAGAAGGAATTTAAAAAACTAGATATTCAATTCATCCACGGACCATCAGTATTTCATGAGGAAATCCTATATTGTACAAAAATGAATGATGATATAATAAATAACTTTAAAGATTTTTTTTAAGTACAGGAAGGACAACAAAGAAAAAAACTAGATATTCAAAAGCAGTGTTTTAGATTGAAATATTGAATCAAACCAAGTAGGTTTGAAAGTCCCTACGTTAACCCACAAATATCCAAAATAATCAAGCACTAAACACTAAATGCAATCCTGCAACCATTTATGGGGTTAAACATTCCTGATCACAACTATTATCAAAAAAGGGTATCCTTAGACTCCTAGGTTTCAAAAAAGGAACTATATTCTTCTACATCAGCAGAACAGTATAAACTTCTTTACCCAAACTTATCTTTGGAAATATAATATCAAAACTTCAGGTTAGACTTTAAAATCTAATTCTCTCTTTTTTAAGATTCATTTATTTATGAACACAAGAACCGGGATACAGGTCAGAGGTGCAGGGGCGAGAAGATTCACCAGAGACATAGTGGAGAGTAGAACAGGCAGATGCACTGAAATACACTGCTGAGAGGAGCACTGGGTGGGTCAGGAGAGGTCTGCCACACCAGGTGGGTCACTTCCCTGGCCAGAAATTGAACTCATGTTGCATTGGTTGTGGATAACTTCATAGTTCTGTGCTTTAACCTGTTGCACCACCAGAAAACCTAATTCTCTTATTTTATATTGAATAAGCTAGAGAGAGATGTTTGTGATTTGCTGGTCATGTAATCTCAGAGCTGGCTAGGAGTTTGTCTTCGCTATTGTATTTTCTCTGCTTTAAATTTGCATGTATTCAATAAAAAAAAAAAGATAAACTTGGGCCATTCACAGTGAGATGGATGGAGCTAGAAGGGATCATGCTCAGTGAAATAAGTCAAGAAAAAAAAAAAAAAGAAGAAAGAAAGAAAAATACCGAATGGTTTCACTTATAGTAGGAATGTAGAGGAACCAGGGTGGGGGGTAATTATAATAAAGTAAAACTCAAAGTAAACAGGCAACTGTAAACCAGAGACATTCTGCAGGGGTGGAGGATAAGGGCGTAGGATCAAAACAGGGGTGTGAAGAGCACAGGGAATATGGAGATGGTACTCAGGTGAACTGGTGGTGGGAATTTCATGGGGGCTCTAATCCAGATGAAAAAGCAAACACTGTACAAAAATGAAGAATAAAAATAACATAAAATAAAAAATTAAATCCTTAGTGATTCCACATATTCAGGTTCCTTACCTAAATTGTAAATTGTGAAATAAATATATTCTCTTTCTTCTAGCTAAGGAAAATTAATAACGTTTTAAAAAACGATACATACGATCTTAACTCAAAATAGATCGAAGACCAGAATGTAAGACCTGAAGCCATAAATCTCAAAGAAAATGTAGGTGGTAAGTTCCTTGACAGCAGTTTTGTGATGATTTTTGTATCTGACTATAAAAATAAAGGCAACAAACGCAAAAATAAACAATTGGGACTATATCAAACTGAAAAGTCCTGCACAGCAAAAGAAATCATTAACAAATTGAAAAGGTGACCTATAGAAAGGAAGAAGATATTTGAAAATCTTCTATTTGAAAAAGGGTTATTATCTAAAATATATAAAGAATCCATATAACTGAGAAGGCAAAAGGCTATCCGATTGAAAAAGGGCAGAGGATATAAACATATTTTTTCAAAGAAACATACAGATTAACAATAAGCATATAAAAGATCCTCTGCATCACATATCAGGAAAATGCAAATCAAAACCATAATGAGATGTCACCTGACATCTGACAGAATAACTTATTACAAAGAAATGACAGGTGTTGGTGAGGATATACAAAAAAGGGAGTTCTTCTGCACTGTTGTTGTAAATTGATGTAGCACCTATGAAAATAGAAGTGATTTTTCCTTCAAAATAGAATTAACCTATGATCTAGAAATTCTATTTATGGGTATTTATCCAAAGAAAACATTAATTCAAAAAGATATGTGTGCTCCCACATTCCCTGAAGCATTATTTAAATAGCTAAAATATAGAAACAACTTAAGCATCTATAAATGAAAGAATGAATGAAGAATTTGTATTATATGTATAGCTTAACAGTGCCTTAGTCAATGACAGGCAACATAAATGATGATGACCCCAAAAGGTTATACCATATATCCTAGGTGTGTAATAGGTTATATCACTGAGGTTTGTATAATTACACTGTGATGTTCACAGAATGTTGAAATCACGGAAGGACACATTTCTCAGAATGAGCCCTGTAGTTAAGTAATGCATTACTGTAATACAATGTATTCCTATTCATCCATAAAAAAGAACAAAATAGGCCCTCCCTGGTGGCGCAGCGGGTTAAAGCACAGCACTGAGAATCTGAAGCCACTTCCGCATGAGTTCGATTCCCGCCTGCCGCCTGCCCCGGAGGAGACCACATGGCGAGCCAGACCTCTCCTGACCTGCCCGCTGCTCCCCTCAGCAGTGTACTTCGTCAATCTGCCTGTTCTGCTCCCCACTCTGTCTCTGGTGAAGCCTCTCACCGTCCCTGAGCCTCTGGCCTGTACCCCAGTTCTGTATGAATAAATAAATAAATCTTAAAAAAAAAAATATTACCATTGCAACATGGATTTAAATTGATGGCATTATGCATAAGTAAAATAAATCTGAGAAAGATAAATAGCGTATCTTCTCACTTATATGTGGGATCTTTAAAAACAAAATCTTAGATACAGAGACAGGGATTTATGGCAGGGATTGAAGAAATTAAAAGGGCTAATAGGTACAATCTTCAAGTTATGTGGATCATGAGGATTAATGCCTAACATGGTGACTGCAGTTTAATAATATCATATTGCACATTTGGCAGTTAAGAGATCTTAAAAGTCCTCATCACAGGAAAAAAATTGTAATTATGTATAATGATGGACTCTAACATAGTGATCACTGTATAGTATATATATTGAATCATTATACTGTCCACCTGAAATTAATGCCATATATCAATTATACTCCAATAAAAATACATACATACATACATAAAAAAAACCCCTGAGATAAAGTAGTTTAATCAGTGATTGGCCTAAGTAGTTCTACTGAGCATAGGAGAGAAATAGATTCACTTCCAATAGACTTCTTGTACCTTACAGTAAATTCCCTTGCATAGCAGTTTTGTTTTGTGTAAGTTAAAAAGTGTTTCTCACATACAAACCAGAGACATTCAATGGGGGTGGAGAGGAGAATGGGATCAAAACTAGGGCAGGAAGAACACACAGCACTATGGTGATGGCACATGGGTAAACTGGTGGTGGAAAGTCCACAGGGACCACAACGGAGATGAAAAAATGCACAAAATGAAGAATGATGTAATATACATACATACACATACATAAGTGCACGCACGCGCACGCACGCACACACACACACACGTATAAATTTTAAAAAAGAAGCACATTTCCAAGAGAGACTGGCTTTCATTCTTTGTAATGAATAACAGTAACTGCTAGGATTTTTTCTTTAAAGTATATTTTCATTTTTGTCAACAGAAATAGTCTACTCCATCTCTCAGAGATGATAAGAGAACAATACAGACTCCATTGAGGGGGAGGGAATAACATTCTTTGAAAATTTACTTCACATGTTGATAAACACTATGATTGCTCAATGGAAATGAATAAAACTAAAATTAATAGAAGTGTATTTCAAAATTTTAGCAATCATAATTCTGCAAATATTTACAACTAAAATGACATTGCTAGTAAAATAGAGTGACATTTATTGTTTCAGTAAACTACTGTGATGTTTCACTGAACTTCAAATGGAGGCAAAATGCTTCAAGGAAAATCTCAAGGTATAAGTAAGCAAGTTACCTGGAAGATAAAATAAAGATTTTTAATTAAAAAAAAAGACAACTTTATTTTGAAAGCTTATGCTGAGAATTTTTTTCCTGAAAAAGAATGGTATAAAAACCATTTTCATAAAACACCCTTTCTTACCAGGTCCCGTTGATCCTCCTGTACCAGGTCCATTTTGTGCACCAAACAAAAGATTTTGGCATCTGGAGAGTTCTGCAGAATGGCCTCTAGGCATGACTGGTAATAATGCATATCCTTTTCCAGTTCCCGGCTCTCCACATCAAAGACATAAATCAGAACCTCCACATTTCGGAAGATATTATCCCGTTGGCTAGTGAAATAATTCTCCATGAAGGTGTCCTGTCTAGTAGGAAAAAGTAATCTAGGTGATAAGCAAGTCCTTAGTTTAGTCACTCTTACTTAAGGTCTATTTGTGTTAGCTTAATCAATACAAATTATACTATGAAGGCTTTAAAGCATAAATAGCAAATGGGTCTCATCTTACCTTTTCACTTTATATACTATACCTTAAGCTGTACCATCCTTTGCCCCACTCTTTGTGTTTCAAATATACTTCCCTTAGTTATTGTGGCCCATGGTCTATCCACCAAGGGGCCTTCACACATGCTACTCACTATCTCACCTATTATTTCCCTACCTCTATAACTAATTAATTCCTACTTGTCTTTTTATATTTCAGTCCAATCCATTTATCTTAATAAAATCCATCTCTGACCTCTCTGACTTGTGTAAAACATCATAGTCATCATACCAACACTTTATTCTTATTTTCAACTTTACAAGTGCGATGTTACATGTGTTTACAGAAGGTTTTAATCAATGGTATTTACTTCCCAAGACAGAAAATTCCATAAGGTAAGGACAATGTCTTTGACTGTTTATTACTGATTCCCACCTTTTATTTAACACAGAATCTAGGAGCTCAATGAGTAAGAGTCAAATATTCTAAACGATATGAAAATGACTTCATGGTAACTTTTTAACAGTGCTGTTCTTTGCTCCTTAGACTGTGAGTGCTTCCAATTACCAGCTGCTTAACAGAAAACAGTACAGTTTTATTAAGGAAAAATATCATCAACCTAGCTTCAAGTCCTACACTTTGCTATTAATTAGCTGCGTGGCCTTGGAATATTCATCTCTCTGCAGTGCAGATCTTTTATATGCAAAAAAATGCAGAAAACATCTTAATGCCTGAAAGTAAGGGATTCAGACTATTCTCTTGATACCATTTACAGAATTGGAAATAATGAGAATTCATACTTAGAAAACTGCTAGGTGATATTAAGAGATACATCTATTACCAGTAATGGAGTCATTCTTTTTAGAGACTTTTTGGCTATTATATTGTTTTTTCAACTAATATTCATAAAGTATCTACTTTATGACTGGCTTTATACTAGGAGCTAGGAAACAGTAAGCTAACAACTATTTATATTGTAAGGTGCTTGATTATACATATTTGTACATACATCTTGCTTGTCAAATAAACCTATGCGTTGTTATTATAATTATCCCTACTGCACAGATTATGAGACTGAAGTTCAGAGCTTAAATGATCTACCCAAGATAACAAAGCTAACAAAACAGAAACGCAAACCGTAATCTACCTCCAGAACATATGTCCCTAGCCACTGTATATTACGTACTGCGGCTGCAGCAAAAAGGTACAAATGGTCATAGGGTAGGGAGTGATGATGCATACAAGCACAGCAGGTGTGTATTTGTCAGGAGATATTCCAAAAGTGCTTTGACTATGAGAGGGAAAACTGCCAACTACTCCAACAGTGAATAATTCAACTCTAGAATATGTGCTCAGGTCTGATCTATAATGCTCGGACTTCTTGGGAATAATTAAGGACATAACAAAGAATGGGGGGGCATGGTGTGATAGTTTGGCAGTATAAAAGCTTGGCAGTGATAAAAGGCCACCTGAGAGGGAAAAATTTACCTGCAAAATGTGCAGTTTATGGTATACTGTTTAAACATGTCTATGCGTTTAAGCATCTCCCTATGTGGGAGAATATTTTCGTAATTACATAAAAGGTACAGGTCTTTATATTAAATCAAGTGCTCATTCAGGAGGAAGAGGGGAAGGAAGAAGGAAGGAACAAGAACAAAGTGGGGAGGAAGCATAAGGATCTATGGTGGTAGGCTACAGTTTCTTTGGTGGTGGGTGTGGTATGGCAACATCAATCTTATAAAGTAAACAACAACGTAAAACAATCCTAACTCAATAAAAAAATACAAAAAATAAATAAAATTTTAATCATCTTGTTAATTTCCACATCCCAAAGCATTCTACTTCTATTTATTAATTGAGAAATAATGTAATGGTGTCCCACAAGTTAAAAATAAACATTCAACTAAACTGATACCTTTAAGTAAGAATATTTAGTGTATGCTCTTTGTGGAGCATGTTGATATTAAAATTTCTGAAGAAGAAAAGGCACCAATTCTGAAGTAATTTCTAGCAAAATTACTATTAAAAATTAGAGATACTATAGGTGTATTCTCTGTAGTGATTATATTAGATGACATGATTATTGCTACTGACGTCACAAGCAAGTAAATAGATGGTACTTACCCACCACAGTCCCACAGGTTCAATACCAGGTTTCCCAGAAATCGAACATGAGAATGTTCTACATCAACTAGAAGACAAATGTGACAAATCTAATAATTGTAACATGAAAGGTGAAAATCAAAACAAACAAAACACTGCCCCATGGAATTCAGGACAAAGTGGAGTGAAATGCTCAAAGCCAAAACAAGAAGGTGATTTTTAGCTAGTAGTATGGTTTAGTGGCAAGGTAGGCACCTGAACTACCCTTAGATAAAGAACTGGCTCTCATGTAAGTCATTTTATTTTTTAGTAGTTTAGTGCATAAAGCAGAACAATCTCCAATTATAATGTTAAAATTTCAACACACAAAACAGACAGATCATTTAATAGCTCTTCCCTGACCTAGCTACCCCTACCAACACCATCCACAAAAAATTTAAAATTTAAACAACAAAAAAAGCAGACACAAACCAAACATAAGTCATAATCAAATTAATTCTCTCTACTGATTTCCTTATTTTGGTTAATGACCCTACCATTCTCCCTTTTATTTTGGGGGTGAGGGTCATTTTTCCTCCTCTCTTCACATTTAATTCATTGCCATTTTCTTGTAATGTATCTGAAGTCTTGTTTCACAGCTTGCCACTAACATTAAGAAAGTTTTACAGCATGCCACTAACATTAAGAAAGTTCCTTATCTTTCCAAGCCTATACAACTACTATATCTCCACTACCTCCACCAGGAGCCTTACCAACTTTACTTCATCCTACAGGCTATTGCTAAGTTCATCTTCTTAACACTTTGAACATGTCACTCCCCATTCAAAAAACTAACAATGGTTCCTCCATGCCTACTGGGAGCACAGGGTTGGGGTGGTATTCAAGGTTCTTCATTATTTGGCTTCCAATCTACTGTTATATCCCCCAAATAATTCACAGTAAAGCTTTTTGCTCCAGTCCAATTTGGCTTATTCATAGTCCTCCCAAATCCCATAACTCCCACAACATACCTTATATCAGGGGTCGCAAACTTGCTAAGAGGGGCCAGGCCAGCAATTGTATACCTGAGCAAAGCTGATCAAGTGTAGAGAGTAAATTCCACTCAAAGGGAAGATGGAGTGGGTAGTAATTACTCAGCTCTAGTTGTTTGTTATGTAGGAACGTAGGCTCAAGATTTAACAGGATTTAATTATAAGTGGGAAGCCTAGATTTTTATGGAAACTTACATATTAATAACTAATTCAAATTTTTTGAAAACATTGCATAGGCCAAACAAAACACATATGTAAGTCTTATCCAGCATACAGGCTGCCTGTTTGCGACCTCTGCCTTACACTTTGCCTCCCCACCCTGTATTTTGTCTACTCTGTCCATCTGCCTAGTAAATCCTCCCCACCTTTCTGTCAAAGTTAGATTCAGCTTTTGAGATACAGTTTAAATCCCATCTCCTCTAAAAGCCCTACCTAGCCACCCCCACTTACCGTGGTCACACCCTCTGAATTTATTCAAACATTTATAAGCATCTACTCTCTGCCAGGCACTAAAAATCACAAAGCAGAATAATGAAAATTTTAGTCCAGGAAATTACTCAAAGTCTAGCAATTGAATCTTTACAATGTATGTGACAGTCAAATAATTACATAATGGTGTTAATTCAATTACCAACTCAAAGATGTTACTTAAACAGATTGCTATTTAACTTTTGTAAGTATATCTCTTCATAAACCAGCTAAATATTTTTTAAAATCCATGGACATTGGAGTCAAACATCTTAGTTCAAATACAGCCCTATCTTTCTGTGTGCCCTTGTACAAAGCACTCAATCCCTCAGTATTAGCTTTCTCTTCTATTAAAAAATAAAAAAGATGTAGTGGAGGACATATAACTGACCTCACAGGATTACTGTAAAGGTTAAAGGATTTATCATAGATAAAGTGCCTGGCAAGTAGTAGGTGCGCAAACTACTTCCCTTTCCCCTTTACTTCCCCCTCCTTGAAAAGGAATCATATCTTACATGTCTTTGTATTTCCAACAGAGTCTACGAGAGAGTAGGTGCTCAAACTGCTATTAATTTGAAGACTATGTAAACGGTCTAGTACTAAAAAAAAAAAATGGAAAGAAGTGCTACTGAGAAAAGGAAAGACAATAACAAAAGAAGTGACAGGATTCAGTGACTTTAGATATGGATTACATGAGATAGAAATCTGGTCTCTACTCCCATATCATAGAAATTGTTCTCAGCAAGTGACCAATGATCCCATTACCAAATCCAGTGGACATTTAATCCTTGTTTGAATTTTGCAACATTACACTGTTGACTAAATCTTCTCAAAAATTTCTCTTCTCTTGGCTATAATATCATACCTATAATCTCTCTGGCGTATCTTCCTTCACAGATCCTATTCTTCTTTCTGTCCCTTCAATGTTGAAGTTCTCTGGGATTTGATACTTGGCTACCAACTCTTGTGCATTCCCCCAGGCAAGATAATTTAATTAATCTTATTCACCATTTGTATGTTGATAACTCATTAATATATATTTGTAATACAGAATTCTCTTTTTCAGGACCAGATATTGGACATCATCCCTTGAATAAACCACAAGTATCCCAAATTTAATATATCCAAAATTACTAACTTGCAATCTACCCATTCTGCAAAATCTATTCCTATTTTTGTCTTCGCCATCTCAGTGAATTTGACCTGTTACTTAAGTATAAAACTTAGCTTCATCCTTGAGTCAGTTCCTTCATTCCCCTCTCCCCAAAAATCTACTGGCAAGTCCTATTGATTCTACCTCTATAGTAAATCCATTTGCTTCTCACCCTATCCAATACCACCACCCTAATCAAGTTATGTCTCCATTGCCACTTATCTGGTCTACTAAAATTGTTTCCAAATTTCCTGTTTCTATCTTTGCTTCCCTCCAACCTATTCTCCATATTATAGACATCACAATGTCTTCAAAATACACATTTTATCCCACACTTTCTCACGAAGGCATGTCTTTGCACATGTATATTTGTATGCTTCCAGAAAAAAAATAAGTCAAGAGGATAACCTCAAACTACTAATTGTAGTTGTTTCTAGAAAACAGGACTGAAAATGAGGGATGGAACAGATTTTGATACTTATGATAGTGTTTGAACTCTTCACAAGTATTTTGTAATTAAAACTGAATTATCAAAAATAATAAAATCTGATCATGTTACTTTTCTGTTTAAAACTTTCTAGGGGCTACCATACATCTTCAGTTCAAACTACCTATAGCATGGTATACAAACTTGGTTTATAAGGCATATAATAATCTAAGTCCTACTTTCCACCTCCTTCTTTAGTCTCATGCTTCCTCTATGATACTCTACTTTTCCTTCTCTTCCTGTCCTACAGCCATAGGAGCAACTGAAAGGAACCAAGAACAGAGATTTAGGGACTCACATACATTTATGGGGCAGAAAGAAGAAAATATTATCTTTTTTAAAAAAAGAGGGAGGGCTGTTAAAGATAAAGGAAGGAAATCAGAGTAATCAAACATTAAATAACAGCCAAGAGAACAGAGAATTTTGAGAAGGTAGGAAATTTTGTATCCATCAACAGTGCTTGAGACTAAACACTCTATAATCTTATTTGTAGTGACAAGTTTACTATTTCAACAAACACATCTTAACAGTCACCTAATAAATTAATAATACCATCATTCTGTATTCTTCAAATTTTCAAAACACAGTAAGTCTCTGGACCTTTTTCAGCAGTGACTAGAAAAACACTAAAACATTAAGGTGACATAATATTTTGGAAGATGTAATCTCTTATTACTTTTAAAGAAAGTAAGTGCATACAAAGAAATTGCAAATAAAATTCAATGTACTCTAATTATTCTATAAACTTTAGCAATAGAATCCAGACCTTTCTTCAGCAATGAAAAATTAATTAATGATACACTAAAGCATTAAGACAAACAAATTTAGAGTATACTTTTACTACCTTTAGGGAAATACAATAATTGCTAACAATGTATTATAAATATCCTAATTGAGGTATCTTTAAGGGCAAGAACTCTGTCACAGGAAGTTTTAGAAAGCACTTATTGAATAAATGGCCTGCTTTAATGTATACTTTCACATAATTTGCAACATTCTGCAACTTTTAGTGATGTTGGTAGATTATTTCAAAACTATTTTAAGAAGCCTGCAAAATTCTGAAATTTGGCTGCAAAATTCACTAGGCTTAAGTTAGTAAATCAAATTAGATGAGCTAAAAACAAAAGTTAATTGCACTAGAAAGGTACTTCAATAAGATATACAGAATTTTGAAACAAAGAAAATTAAATCTTCAGCATAATGATTAGAGCAAGAACACAGATTGACATTCTACTTATAACATTTGCCAGTTGAGTTAGTTTAACTTCTAGGTTATATTTTCCTCATCTAGTAAAATGATGTTAAAAGAGAACTAAAATAAATAGCATAAAATAATTCAGGTTATTTAACTTGGAACAATAGGAAAAATTTAATCTAAAATTAAAATCTAGCAAACCAAGACAGGTAGAAATTTGGACAGGTATATTCTAAAAGGAAGTCTCTCAAGGCATAACAGGTCAAATAACCCTATCTAGACCCAAACTTTTGAGGAATGACTTAGATTAAAAACTAGATGAGGTGCAAAGTTAGGAAGGCTAGTTAACATATCAGAAGAGAGAACAAGTAGCTAAAATTAAAATAGAATCCTACCCTTTTTCTATAGATCAAGACAGTGAGACCCAATGAGGTAGTGATTTCATAGCTAATAAACCAAACACTAGGTGCAGTAACACATCATGGACTAAAATAAACAAATTATTTAATAGGTTCAAAATATTAAGTTTACAAGAACCAGATGTTGTTTTAATAATGACGTATGTGTGTGTGTTCATACACACACAGAATATGGTTGTTGTTTTGGTATAATTCAGTATAATCCACAAAAGGAGGTTTAGATTGTTAACTCTGATATCCAAAACAAGAGATGCCATGATCAGACTGCATTTTATTCAAATCTTAGTACTTTAGAAAAATGCAGACAGGTTCAAACAAGTCTTTAAAAGTGTTTCAAAATGATGTGAAACAAAAAATAAATCGAAGAACTGCAAATGTTTAACTTAAGGAAGCTATGATTTGGGAGTTAGGGATGATTAGGATAGACAGAGACACTAATCACAAATATTTGTAGAGGCTCAAGAGAACAGAGAGGGGACCAGCTAAAAGAAAAGGGAAATGGACTTGTGATTCTCCTTAAGAAAGAGCTTTCTAACCGTTGAAGCTGCCCCAATTATGAGAGTCTATACTATACTCCAACCACTTTAAGAATAGAAATTAGGTTTACTTTTCTTTTGTATCCTAGGGTCTGGAACATAAGGTTTCAAAAATGTGAACTGTTTTTCAAACTAGAGCAAGATACTTTACGAAGTAGCAGTTGGCTTGTCCCTAAAAGCATTCGAGATACTAGAAGCCTAGATCAGGAATCTGTGAACGCCAGTTAACGCAACGCTTTTGTCATCTAGAAGCCAACGACCAAAGAAAATCAGAAAGAATGGATTCTGTAAAATGAAGTGGCATTACCACCCACAGACAGAAGGGGTCTCCAAGGAGCACAGATCTACTGAACTGGCAGCCATGGCAGCCCAATTAGCTTAGGTTAAGAAACCAGACATAATATTCAAATCAAAAGGCAATGAAACATTTCTTATCAGAGCTGGAACTCCAACAAAGACATCTATGTATATTCAGGAAGAGATGTAACAGAATGTAGATCAGGTGTTAACCTCCGACTAACAGCCTCTAGCCCCATCAGTTTACCCTTTAATGAAGACTAGGACTAACTACTGCTTTTAAAAAATCTTAGATTTCACTATTAGTTTTTTTTAATACTATCAATTAATTTTCCATTTATATAATACTAGTTAAAAGCAAACACTTTCCCGCAAAATAAGTAAAAGATTCCCTATGCTTGCTTAGGAAGAAGACTTTTAAAAAAATGTTGGGCAAAAGCATCCTACGTGGTAAGCAACCCATAAAGGAGAGAGCAAGCAGCAGAAACCAAAATTAGACTACACTCTCTGATAAGGAATGAAGACAGGGTAAGCATGCTGCAAAATAAATTTTTCAACCTCTGCATTCCCAATTACTGCAATCAAGTGTCATGCATATTAATAGGTAAGATCACCTGACTTACAATAAGATAAAACATCTTACTTGTTGCACCAAGGCGACGAGTGTCTCTGGCAATATAATTTGCAAAGATAATAGACCTCATGCTGGTCTTACCAGACCCACTTTTGCCCATCAACAGCACCTAAAGACAAAGTGGGAAAAAAGTTAGAAGTGTAGAGTAAATTCAATTAACTAAAAGGCCCTTCCTGGTGGCACAGCATATTAAACACAGTACTGCACGCTAGCAGCAGCCACCTGAGAGTTCGATCCCTAGCCCCGGACGGACATGATCCATATGGCGCAGCACACCTGTACTGACCCGCCTACTGCTCCCCTCAGCAGTGTACTTGGTTAATCTGCCTGTTCAGCCCCCGACCCTGGTGAATCCTTTCACCACCTCTGGCCTGTACCCCAATTTAGTATAAATAAATATTTTTTTAAAAAGATCGAATTCCTCCTGTACTGTTTTACCAATAGTACCAACAAACTGGTATGGATATTTTAACAAACTGGTTTCCCAGCGAAAAGTGAACACAGAAATCCAGAAGCCCAGGTGCAAGGCAATTACCCACCCTGGGTCAGACAACCTCTTAGCAACTGAATCAGAAGTGACCATGTTATGCTTTTAACACAGACTATCATAGATTCAGAAATGTTAATGAAATACCAACGTGGGAGGAAACTTAATTTTGCTCTCAGATAATCTTATGTGTTATGCACTAATCTATCTGGCAGGCGATTTCAGTATAATTCAAGGTTCCTCCTCCTGTTCAAGGTCAATCTTTCCACCTATGCCCTTGATCCTATCTCATCCTGTCTACTTACCTCTGTGTTTTGTTCCATTAGCTATTGTATGCCTCCTTTTTCTTTTCAAAAGTTTGACTTATAAAATCAAGTCCCTAAGCTACATATAAGACTTCCTTTAACTGTGACTCTATTTAAAGTCCATCCATACTGAACTGAAGAGCTTGTAGCACCTTTGATTGCTCCCAATATTCAGCGAGCCCTATTCAATGTGTTTGTTTCATGCTGCTGTCTACCACTGACTTTCCCATCGCGGCTTCCTTTACCTATCCACCATTCATTCTTCAGAATGTGGTTCAGTAATCATCTCAAGAAGCATCTCTGATCCTGCTGCCCTACACTGGCTTAGGTGTGTCTCAACTCTGCTCTCCCATGGCATTTTTAGTGCATTGCAAAAATTGTAATGCGCTTCATTATCCAGTATTTTTTGATATGTCCCTTACTAAACTCTGAGCTCCTGAATGGTAGGGAGAGCTCCCTTTGTATTTACGTGCCTACCATATAAGAGGTGCTCAAATATATTTCATCAAAACAAATATAAAAAATAAAAATGCTTTTAACAATGAGCACTGTTCTAATGGGAAAGGTACCCTTACCAAGGTGAACAGTTTTCTTGTCAATTCCAGCATTTAATGAAGACAGAAAAGCACCAAATGCTTTTCTGCAGATTCTTGTAATAAGAGGGTATTGAGGAAGCTTTTGGAAGTTTTTCAAAATTGAATTTTATTACACATAGTTCCAACTGCCTTGCTTTTCAAGTAAAGCAGAAACATGTTCTATTTTCAATCCTAAAATATTTTACAAAAATTTC